CTTCTGAATCAATACATAGCTGGAATCGATTGAAAAGTTTTCGAAAACAGTCACTGTACTCCTTTTGTGGAATCGCATTTAAAACTGCGGTAGATTCCCTTTGGATGTCCTGGATGGTGTCGTGACGGTCTCCTTTCATCGCCAACTTAACTTCTGGGAACAACCAGATATCTGCTGGAGCCAAATCTGGCGAATACGGAGGATGATCAAGGACTGTGATCCCTTTCCTGGCCAAAAAATCGCGCCTAACGATCTTAGATTTGTGGTGTGGGGCATTGTCGTGGAGGAGCCACCAGGAACCTTGCTCTCGATATTCAGGTCGAATTCGAAGGATTCTCGCCCACAAACGGCTGAGGACTCCGAGATAATAATCAGAATTCACTGTTTGACCTTCTGGCAGAAATTCCTTGTGAACGATTTCTTTGGAATCGAAGAAAACGGTTAGCAGTGTCTTTACTCGACTCTTTTGCATGCGCACTTTCTTTGGTTTCGGCTTCTTTAGGCTCAACCACCCTGCACTTTGCCGCTTTATGAGAGGCTCATATTGAAAACACCATGTCTCGTCACCAGTAACAATCGCTTTTGTAAATTTTGTATCACTCTGGGCCGACTGTAACATGTCTTTGCAGTGTTCCACTCTGGCATGTTTTTCATCGCCTGACAGAGCGTGCGGTACAAACCGCGCACAGCCCTTCCGTTTGCCCAAATCCTCGGTCAAACTTTGATGCACAGTACTTTTTGGTATTCTCAAAAGCTCCTCGACGAGTCTTGCAGAAACACATCTGTCTGATGCAAGGATTTCGGTCCGGTCACTTTTTTTTCAAATTTTCTTCAGTGCGACTTGTTCTCGACTTCGATGTACGTGGAGCGTCTTCAATGTCCTCCCTGCCAACGTTCGAGCGACTCAAACAATCACTACGGTACACACTTTTCATCATTTCGTACGCTTCTCCGGCTGTTTTGCCTAACTTCAAACAAAATGTGATGTTGGCTCTCTGTTCAACCGCCATTTTCCGACGAGCGTCAGAACAGTACTGTTACATTCAAGGTCAGAACACATGATTCAGCGATGCTTGCGCTTTGAAATTATAGACAGCCACAGCTGAAACTTCAAGAATCTTAACACCACAACCCGCTAACAGATGGCACTGCAGGGCAAAAGTTAAAAAAAAAATGAGTCCTAACGGATCCTGGACACGCCGTGTATGTTTAACAAAATTCAATAAAGTTCATCAGCAGCGGTCTCTATCTGTCCTTAGCTCTACAGCCCTTTCTTTGGCTGCAGCCCTTTCAGTTTCTTTATCTTTTACACAGTCGGTGGGACTCCTTGGACGAGGGATCAGCCCCTCATAAGGCCGCTATCTGCACACAGAACTGCACAAACACAGAATAAACGCACAGAAATATCCACACCTAAATGGGATTCGAACCGACGGTCCCAGTGTTTGAGCGGACGAAGACATTTCGTGCCTTAGACCGCGCGGTCACTGGGATCGGCAACAGCGGTCTCAATGAAAGAAATACACGTATGTATATGTTCGTGTTTGAATGAGGATGTTGTACATTCAGTTTCAACAATCGCAATTAGCCTACTAGAGTGATCAAATCAAGGATAACGAGATTGGCATCATATGGAGTACGCAGGGAACAGATGAAAAATGCTTTCAAAATATTAGCCGTAAAAATTGAAGACCCAGGTGTAGATCGGGTTGATGATGTGGTCTGGATTTATCTGACTCAGGATACGGACAAATTGTAGACTCCTTGAACACAATAACGAACCTACGGATTCTGTAGGAGGCGGGTAAATATCCTGATTGGTTGGGCAGCTGCTGGCTCTCAAGGACTTCGCTCTGTGCTTGTTGGTTCAGTTCAGTGAACGCAGAAAAGACCGATGACGTGTTCTTACTTTCATCCAAAGAGTTGCAAATCGGTGAATCGATAAATATCGCTTGTCGAGATTGGTCGGATAGTTCAATCACCGTAGCGGTTTGTGGCGGAAAAGTGCAGCTTGCCGTTTGTAATCAGTGTCTTGTTGCAGAGTAACAGTGCAGTCGTATTTTTTGTTGTTGTTAGTGAGGTGGGACTAAGTCCCTTGTACTGCGGCCACTTCTGGCCTATTGTACCAGTCGCAGATGATAGGTGAGGGTGATTGTGGAGCATTTCGTGGAATGAAGATTGGCAGGGGAAACCGAAGTACTCGGAGAAAACCTGCCCCAGCGCCACTTTGTCCACCACAAATCGCACTTGACCAGACCCGTGATCGAACCCGGGCCGCCGCGGTGGGAAGCCAGCGACTAGCCGCTTGAGCAATGTTTATGCGTTAGATGGACTGTAAAGGTGAAGTTTCCCTGGTGCTTAATTAAGGGGCATGCCATTGAGACGTGTGGGGGAGTGGTTCCACGCATTCTCAACCTCCGTAGTGGTTAACTTCATGACCCGGCCTCTTTACCCCCTGTGAAGGAACTCCTGTTATGCGCATTGGGCCCCAGAGTCGGTTTGGACGCTGTGGAAAAAAAGAAGAAATTTCTTCAGTCATGACCTAGCCGCTTTACAGAAGGAGACATCCCATAGATTATTTATCGATTGTGTGATAATTAGAGTGATCAAGTCGAGGAGGATGAGGTGGGCAGGTCATGTAGCACGAATGGTGGAGACGAGGAATGCGTATAGGATATTGGTGGGAGACCACAGTGGGCAGGTCATGTAAGGTGGGTGGACAATATTAGAATGGATCTTAGAGAGACAGGATGGGATGGTATGGATTGGATTGATCTGGCTCAGGATAGGGACCAGTGGAGGGCTCTTGTGAACACGGTGATGAACCTTCGGGTTCCATAAAATGCTGGGAAATTCTAGAGTAGCTGCAGAATTGGCGGCTCCTCAAGAAGGGCTCAGCTCCATGAGTAAGTAAGTAAGTAAGTAAGTAAGTAAGTAAGTGACAGTTGCAGTGGTCTTTGATCACGTTCGGTGGAACTTAACGGGCGGTGGAGGAGCAGTTGTGGTCGTCGTGTCCTGTTTGAAGTTACTATCCCAGAATTCACCTATAGGGATTCAGGGAAGCGCCTGCAGTTCAGTGTGTCAGCCGAAATTTGAGTCGTGTTATGTTGAATAAGCCTACGAGTCAAGAGTCTTACCGCATAAACCAGGTTTCTCTGTGTTTGGAAATTAATTCTGGGTCGAAACATGTCAGAGGTCATGGCTGAGAGATCATGTAGAAGCTGTATTTGATAAGCGGTCTGACGGAGAAATCATTCTGAAACCAAAAAGGCGGATCTTAGAAGTATTCTATTCTGTTATGGCTCTATAGCCCTTTGTTGGGCGTTGGTCGCTTTTTCAGTTTCTTATTCTTATACAGTGTATAGGATTAAGAACCCGTTGGGATAAACGCCTCAGTGTACAGTGCATACTGCAAACCTGAATATGTTAGTGTTCTTGTTTTATGTGTGGTCTGTGAGAAAGAAAAATTATGAAAATACTTTTCTGATCCACCAATCACAGTGGCCGAGCGGTCTAGAGCATGAACTGTCTTCAACCGCTCGAACACTGGGGTCTTGGTTTCGAATCCCACTCAAGGCATTGATGTCTGTGTGCGTTTATTCCGTGTTTGTGTTGTCCTGTGTGTAGGTAGCGGCTTTGCGACAGGCTGATCACTCGTGGGATTCAAACCCACAACCCCAGTGTTCGAGCGGGCGAAGGCAGTTCATGCTCTAGACCGCGCAGCCACTGTGGTCGGTGGATCAGAAAACTATTTTCATAATTTTTTTTCTCACAGACCACACATAAAACAAGAATACTAACATATTCAGGATTGCACTATACACTGAAGTCGCTTTTCTTCATAATCTCCCTGTAGACTGAGGCGTATATTCCACTGGTACTCCGGTTTATTCAAACCGTTTTGAAAGAACTGTGTGCCCTTTACCTGGAGCCATGTCCTTGCGTCCATGGCCCCAAAATCTGATTTGAATGGACGGCCATCAAGTTTTTTGTTTTCAGNAGGCATTGATGTCTGTGTGCGTTTATTCCGTGTTTGTGTTGTCCTGTGTGTATTGCGACAGGCTGATCACCTTTTCTTGGAATTGCTGTCTCTGATAGCAAAAGTAAACGGCAATATTGCAGAGGAAGTGATTGTACTTGTCACTTTACGTATTCAAACAAGATGGAGTTTGTTCATCTTCTCTCTTACAAAATTGCAGCTCTGATGTCTCCATGGCTACGACAGGCAGTGCAGACTGCCTGATCGCCAGGAGCACTGTCAACGTGTAACACTATAATTTCATGATTCAAAATCGTAGGTTATACTCGTAAGCATGAGGAAAGAAATACTGACGTCGAAATTTTCAACTAACCAATTTCATGCAACAGGTTTATTCTCGAGAATCTTACAGTCGCTCAGACAGTTAAGAAACTGTCAGCACTTTATCGAAGGGTCTTGACCGTGTACGCAAGAGCCCATACACGGAAAATATTCTGAGCCAGTTGAATCGCCCATCTCATTCTTCAGGATTTGATCATCATATTAAATGTTTTATGAAACGTGCAGATCATGAAGCTCAAGTTTCCCAACTTTCTGTCGTCTCCTGTTGCCTACCTCCAGATATTATTCTCAAACGCCCTCAATTTAGACCTCTTCTCTAACATTTCGTAACATGATCTTGTCGAGATATGGGGTCGTTAGCTCCTTCCAGTCCCCACTGGAGACCCGTCCTTGTCGGCTTTCCGTGACTAATTGTTCGGTATATTCACAAATGCTGTCCATCTCTTCCATCCACAGTGTGAGGACGCGCCATGCCGTGCTGACAGGGGACCCTTAACACGGTAATAGTTCGTACATCTCAGTTAAAGAAATTAATATTTTCAGTTTTGGCATTCGAAACCATATTGAAACATAAGAATCCTTGCCTTGCTTGCCAAGAAGCGATGCAGTTTGTATATTTATGAACGTTCTCCTTGCAACCAAGCAAGTGTGACGTAGCAGTGTGTTCTCTTTTGTTCAGGTGTCGAGTTCAGAATACTTCAGTGTCAACTTCGAGTGCGGACTGCTGGCTGCTGGTGGCGATGATCACTCCATTTCGTCAGAGGAGTTTTTGCCCGCTACAAAGGGAATGTCACTCGCGTAAGTATTCAGTGAAGCAAAACAACTTCTCCCGCCAACAGCGCAGAATCACGTTTGCTCGTGACCAAGCGGTTTGGCATGGACGGTAACGCTTCCCATCTGTATTCTAGAGGTGCCCGTTTTGAATCTCAACAAGGACTACACTGACTGAGGTTTTCATGGTTTTCCTCTATCTCTCCAGGATAATACTGTGACATGTGACCCCTACCTCCCCGGCGGTAACGTAGCGCTTGCGTAATAGGCGAGTAATCACCCCGAATCCTGGTAGCTATGCAACGCGCAGTGACGTCACCGAGGGATATCGCGGTTGCTAGGCAGCAGTCAACAACTCCGGACAGCGTGGCTAGCAACAGGGCACCAGACGACAATTGTCCGATCAAGGCTACATAAGGAGCAGCGAAGGCTATTCACAGTCAGTTGTACTGTGACAGTCAGTCAGTCAGTCAGTCCTCGAGCTACCTCCGAGTTAGTTCCGAGTTAGCCAGCAACCAGCCAGTTGTACTGTGGCATTTGGAGTGTACTATTTGTGATACTGCAGATAGCAGTAATCGTAAATCTGTAATTTGGGTGATTGTAAGTGCGAATGTGAAATAAAATTCGCTACATCAAATACGGCGTGAAGTTATTTGTCGCGATATACGCCCAAACCGCGACAATACTTTTAAGTAGGTCACGATCGTTCTGTGAAAATTGAAAGAAATGCAACGTTAGCCCATGAAGTACAATTGGCATGTCAGCAGATAGAAGCCGGAAGTATGTGTTGGCCTTGCCTTACTCCCACGGTTCATGCCAGGGAATGACGCTTTGCTGTTGATTCTGGATTATTCAAGAAGTTGTGTACAGAACTAACAACGCGAGCTCCTTGATAAGTAATGTACTTCCAGTAGTAAAAATATTCCCTCTTGTTATGCGTCCCGAAGATTCACTGAAAAGTGAGTCTCCCTTCAGGCCACGATTTCAGTGAAATCAGTTTGTGCCACGAACCTCGCGTTACTTGCTTCTTGTTCGTTACTTAGCATATCCTCGCTCCTGAAGATAGAAGCAGAACATCCTCCGGAACGTTTATAGACTGCGCTATGCGGCATCGCATCCGAGGAGACAGTGCTTTTAAACCGCTTCAAATTACCGCAAACTATTTGCATAATGTGGTCTAGTGGTCCGAGTCCCCGAGTTCGATTCTCGGCGCTACCAGATTTTCTGAGAAGTAGTGGGTCTGGAACGGGGTCCACTCAGCCTCGTGAGGATAATTGAGAAGCTATTTCAAGGAAATAGCGGCTCCGGTCTAGAAAACCGAAATTAACGGCAGTGGGGCTTCGTTGCGCTGATCAAGCGACACCCTCTATCCGCTAAAGTTGAAACTAACTCCGCCAACAAGCGGCGGTCGCTCGGTCGGTATAGTTCGCTTGCGGACTAGAACCACGGAGTTTGTTTTTGTGTTTTAAGTGTTTTGATACGAATGTGCAGCTGCATTCTTCAACCGAAACTGCATATGTAGGCCTACTTCTTGTTTTGCCGTCAGCATGGCTGATGATAAGCGCATAGAACTTTTGTTGGAATAGCCTGGTCACATCCTGGACACGGGCCTCGTACTTCTTGAATGCAACTTAAACACGTCAGTTCAGTCAGTACTGGACTGAAAACATGGACTTTCGAATGTGAAGCATAGTCCTAGTCGATCCGTCACTCTTTTGGGCAGCACTGTCTTCAAATGTCTGTCAGCAAAAGTGAAGTAACAGGCTAAAACATGACGTGCTGGAATTGTGTATGCCACTCTTGCAGTGAGACAAATCGCAGTTCCAAATCGAAGTCGCGTAAGACTGATCTGGGTGAACGAAGTAGAATGCTTTAGAGGAGAAGTCGAATAGCAATTGTTCCGTTGGCTTTACCCCGAAAAAGCTTTCTTTTCAGAGGAATGGGATGTAAATCCTTCCTGCCACTTGTTATTCAGACACGCGGAGAAACATCAGCCCCTAGACTGAACAAAAGTGTGCAGAGTAATCGCGTAAAAACAAGTCCGCGTAAAGTATACCAGTTGTCATTACTGCTGATGCATCCCTCCTACTCTCAAGGCGAAGAAGTTGCATAACAATCACGGCGGTTGACGGCCGTACTCTGACTGCAGTTATCAAGACAACTGCCATGTGGCATCAGTATTGGTTCCAACATGAAGAGCTTCCTCGACTTTCTTCAAGTGAGAAGATGCGAATAAAGTTATTTAATTGCTTGTGTTAGTATGGCATCTTCTTACGCGGAATCACGTCACGTGTACTGTATGTTAATAGGCCCAGATGTACACATTCTATCTTCTTCTGGTTTATTTATTTGCATTCGTTCTCTCTTTTCTTCTTTATTTTCGCATGCTTCCACTTGTACTTCTTGGGTACTGTATGCGTTGTCTCCTTATTTCGTTGAACAAGTATTTTAAATTGCGAATTTATCCCAAACAGTACTTAAAATTCCCGCCTGTACGTCATAGGAAACATCCTCCATCATGAACTATGGTTTTTATATCGTGTCACCTTAGACCACCTCAACGGGATACTTCGTAAACTCCTCTCTTCAGTGAAACCAACTCTGTCCTCTGAAATTGTTGAGATAATGATCATAATATAACTTGAATACTATCGTGCAACTTTGTATGAAAAACCATTTCATACGAGGCACTTCCAACGGCCTGTTTTTATAAACACCTGCCTTCAGTAATACAAGCTTTTTGTAGTATTGTGCATATGTACTGATGTGGTTTTCCTCTTTGTCCGATCTGACACACAAATTATAGTGCAAGGAATGTATGCAATCAATTCTTCCCAGAACCTGTTTCATTACCAGTTCGCGAAACGCATTAATTGGTGAAGTGGATGCGGGAATTGCTCACGACTGACCTAGAGCTTCTAATACATATAAAACAGTTTTGTTGCCAGCGGCTGTCGTTGATATTCTGTTTAAAATTCGGAGAGAATAATTACATTGATAAGATTAAAAGAAGCGACGTGTGAGGGTAAGAATGGGGTAAGTGAAAAGCGCACTGGGTTACTAGACCATTTCAGTGATTTCAATGTGAATTCCTGTCTTTTAGCGAGTTAGTTGAGAGTTGTGTCTGTATGCCGCAGGGAGGCGCTGAAGCCAGTGTGTGCTCGGCGAGGTGTGGACCTGACCTTGCTAGACGTGTTCCTGGAGAACTCCAAAACGCCTCTATCTGTGTTGACTGACACCTCGTGGCTTGGAGGCAAACAACTGCAACTTAGAGGTTCGTATTCTTCATTGCTCTCATTATCATTGGAAACTTGGTCACTGCCATGGCGGCTTTCTGGTACTAAGAATCGCGAATGTTTAGCATCGATGGGAGAGTCAGCAAACAGGTCATAAATGAATATAAAACGTAAAACATGTGATATTCGAACCTGAAAAAAAAATTCTCGACATATCCTCCGCCGACAGTGATACACTTGTCCTAACGCTTTACCAGTGCACTGAAACCCGCAGCGTGAAAGTCTTTTGACTGCTGTCTCAGCCACTTCCGCACCTCCGTTTCAACCTCTTTGTCATCATCGAAACGTTTCCAGCGTTTCTGGATACAGTTGCAGACCGCTTTACGCGACAAACACTTCCCACCGTAAACAGGAAGCATTTCTTTATGAATATCCTTTGCATTATGCCCTTTGTCCGCAATAACCGCACAATAGAACTCTGCTCTTCGGTAGTATACTTCTAAAGCACTGTCGCCGTTTTTACTTCTAAAACCAGCCTCTGAACATGCGCATGCGCGTCTGTTACCGAGACTGTCATGAAGCTGGACTGTGCTGCTACCTAGTAATAAATATAGAAAAGCTATTACATCTGTTTTACTTCCATTTGTTGATCTATTTACTGACTCCATCGTGAATAAGAAGGGTATTGCAGAATTTGAGGTTCTCACAGTGGTACTTACGAAGAGTTCTGGCTTCCGGGATATAACGCCGTGTAGTCCGGTGACATTCAACTGATGTTTTGCAGAAACATATCGCCCCCATCTTCGGGGTCGAAAGGAAAGTGAAGCAATAGCACGAAGCAGGCAGCGAGCAGCGAGATATATCCCAGAAGTTCGCCGTGTAGACCGACACAAGTTTACCGACTTTGTACCTCCGTCTTCAGGGTAGAGATTAAGCCACGCAAACAAGGGAGAAATCTACTCTTATTGCTACTAGTGGCTTATATGGCTCCTCTGTGGTCTAGTGGTCAGAGTTCCTGCCTACAGATCCAGAGGTTCTGCGTTCGATTCCCGGCGCTACCAGATTTTCTGAGAAGTAGTGGATCTGGAACGGGGCCACTCAGCCTCGTGAGGATAATTGAGGCAATATTTCAAGGAAATAGCGGCTCCGCTCTAGAAAACCGAGATTAATGGCCGTGGGGATCCTTTGCGCTTAGCACGTGACGCCCTCTATCCGCAAATTTGGCACTAACAACGCCGACAAACGGCGGTCGCTCGGTCGGTCGGTCGGTATAGTTCACTTGCGGACTACAGGCCACGGAATTTGTTTTTTGGCTTGTATAGCTTAGACGTTAAAGAAGGAGGCAGTACGTTTCCCC